ACTGGTTTTTATATTACATAAAAAGGATTCAGTAGACAGAATACATATATGGATTTTTTTTTAAGAAGTTTAAAATATAGACTACCACTGTAACTATATCTAGGCAAGTTTACAATGTTGATTATATGTTAATTTTTGTGAACATTTTGCATGATTTTTCTAATTAAAAGTATCACTACGCTTACTTCATATATACCAATATGACATATTTAGTATCAAAATAACAGTAATGTTATACACTGTACACTATCATAATACATTTTCAAAATAACATTCGCCTGTGATATGTATCTATCATTTTGTTAGGATACCCCCATCACTCAACCTGGTGTTATACAAGGAGGTCCACTACGGTTATCAGTAGCATTTATGACTAACTATTTATGCAGTTATTGATCATTTTTATGTATCTACATATGGCAAAAGAATAAAAGAAATCCAAGTGGGGGCCAAATGTTGTCCCCACCTTCAGAGGTAAGCCCATTATGTAGATGCAGACTAGTCGAAAGTAGTTACTACTTTCAACTGAAATGTAATAAGTACACTAGAATAAGACAAAATACTACAAAAAGCTTAAACATTAACCATACTGAAAATAATCTACTATGAGAAAGTACTGAATAGAATAAAGAAATATTTTTATCAGTCCATATTTTTATCAAACTCAGTAAACGGTTAAATTAATCCTTACTTGAACACATGTTCATGTACGACCTTATTATTGTAGTTATTATTTTAAATAGTTTCTACATCAATTATATATTGTAATTGAAAGTGCTTTTTATTGTATTTATATTCTTAAAACATTATATCAAGAAATATGCGTACCATAAGTACATGTGTGAGTTTGAGTGTTTGAGCATGTACATGCGTACGTGTTCGAGCATCGTCCGTCCGTCCATCCATGGGTGGATGAGTGCAAGTGTGCGTGCACCTCAATACCAAAACGTATATTACGTGTCACTGATTTTTAATCTAAAGTGTTATTCATTAAATTAGTAGGTTTCAATTTCAATTTTTACCACCTGTATATATGTTATAAGCTTAAACTTTATCTGATTCAAATTACTAAGGTAGTTAAGGTGTCAGCAGTCTCGAGGAATTATTTTCCTATAATATATACTTGGGAGAGGAATTAATATCAGCTCTAAGCTTGTTTTCCAATCCCTGTGTAATGTTATGTATGTAATTAACATGTTTGAACATTAAAAAAAATACTGTTTAAACTAAACTATATTCTTATCTAATGTCCGCGATATTTTACCATATAATGTCATTGTTATTAATCTCCTGAATTTGACCATCGCGTCTTTTAAATAAACATCTGTTTACAACACAGTATAGACATCCCCATTTGTGCTGATTTTACAAATCATTCACAAAGAGACGGTTTTATCTAACGTTATTTCCGTCCCGTGTTGCTAGGTCATTAAAAAATATGTCAGTACGCCTTAAAAACATGTTTAACGCATAACGTAGAGTGAGTAATATAGTGTAACACAATGTTTCATAAAAGTCTGGTTATCTTCATAGGACGCTAGCCTTTATCACGTCCAAACTTTCCGGTAAAAAATTGAAATTGGTACTCTACAAGGAGAGAGAAAAATAATAAATAAAAAATCATAAACAAACAAAAATTATTTAAATTTTGTTTAAATATAAAAGATAATTTCTTAGTTTGATCCTTTTTTAGCACTTTTTCCAAGGCATCGTTTCGATTGCTTTACTGGTATTTTGACAGCAGAAATGTTACTATGGTATAGTGATATAAGTTATTGCCGAAATACATTTATGTATCATTCTCATTGTTCTTATAAAAAAAAGTTTAAACATATTGTTAAAACAGAAAAGAAAACAAACAGAGAGTTCTTTAATATATCGAATAAGACTTATAGAAATAAGAAGTGATTGTGCTTGGAATGTTAATATTATCATAAAACAAAGAAGGACCATCAATGTTACTTGATATGAAATATTACTATTGGTATTCAAATGTACATTCTTCTAATAAGGTAAGGCGTCACTATTAATGTCGACAATGATAATATTTGTTTCAGCTGGTTGTGTTAATGAAACAAAACTAATTAACATTGTGTCCTAAAAATGTTGATGTTACTCTATCCGTTTTATAAATATATACATAACAAATACATTCAATATGAATTTGAGATAATAATAATATATGTGTAATCTGATAACCTTTAATAAAGAAATGGATACATTCAATATCAATTAGGTTAATAGGACTTGGCTTCAAATCACCTTTAATAAAGAAAAGGAAATCATATTTTGTTATTTTTCAAATACCGCAATTAACTGTTATCAATCATGTTGTTTAGAATCGAGAAGTGACCGAGCGAACGTTTACCTAGGAACATCCGCGCGTGACCTCATCCCGTACACACCTGAGCGGCTAGTATCACCCCTCTCTTTAGTCAACACCTTTACCTGACATTCCCTTTATTGTTAATGCATGTCAGATGCAATGTTAGTTCGGACTGATTTAAAACTGTATTACCTTCCCATCAAACGGATCACGTCGATGACCCATGTAGCTGTGTTATCCTTACATGTTTGTGGTCCGCGTGAATGGTGCCTCGAGTTCGCAGGATGAGTATATAAGACCCCGGTGTTGCTCCACAAATCGTACCACACTGTCACCGAAGCCGACCAACAGCCCACCAGCAGCCCTACAGCTCATCACAAAAAGGTACGTCCAGCTTCACTTTAAATTTGTATTCATCGTTAAATGTTTTTCATAGTGTTATGCAACGTACGTTCTTGCCTCCTGACCTATTAACTTCAGAATCTCCCGACATCTTTAAAACCACTCTCTAATCCATTAGTATCTCATACATACGACCAAACATCCTTCTTTTGCAATCAGACACTTTCACAACCCTACATTGATATGATGAAGTAGGCCAATTATTCGGTAGACCATATAGAATTGTTGTTATCTCAGCTAAGCATTTCTACCTTCATCGCCATTTTTTTAATCAATGTATTTTGAATGTTTTATTGTCCACGCCATTTACTTAATGTAGTCTAATCTTAAATATTTGCGAAGGCAAAACCCTTATCCGTCATATACCTGAGGCATTTGGAGGGCCTACCGTTCAATTAATTTGTAAACGCGGTTTATTCATGAAAAAGGTCTTTATCACGGCAAAGCCCTTGTTGAAATGTCGCTTATTTTTTATATATATATAAATGTATTTCCGATCAGTATCAGCTGTTTTATACTAGAATAAAGAGTGTTACACGAATGGCTATTTTCTATATTTACGCTTTCTTATCTGGTAACACTACAGATGAAACTCTCTACATGTTTTTATTTCTCCGCAAAAATAGCAATGTGTGACAGGAAAGCTGTATATTGTATGTATTCAAAATACTTCTGAATCAAGCCATACAAATCAGATATACACAGCGTAATTACAAAAAAGATTCAAAAAAAGTAATGTCGAGAACATTCGAATTACATACATAAAAGTAAATGACACATATTCATCTTCAAGCTATACATTCGATATCGTAAGGTATCTTTAAAAGAACAAAAACAGAAAACCCGTCATGTATCTATTTCACACACTTTATATCTGCATCTGTATGCATTGATAGTGATTGAAGTAACAAGTTTTCAATCGAATCATATATATCAATATGATATATTTTAATTGACGAATCAACTTCAAATGTTGACTGTTGGTACCTTGTAGACCTTCAAGATGAACGCTTACCTATTCGTTTCCATGGCGTCTGCCATTGTTGTCGCTACCAACGCGGCTGGTAAGTAGACAATCGATAACTGATACAATGATGCAAATAGTATGACAACTTAGTTTCCTTAAAAACGATATTTTAGATTTTGTCGTATGGTAAAGGTGATATTAAGAAAAAAAAACATCAACTCTATGCTGACATTTAGCAGGAAATGCTTAATTCGTACTCAAACCAATAATGCAAATCAATGAAATTTCGTGAGATTACGTTAATAAGCTGAGAGAAGCAGATATCACATTAAAATACATTGGAAATATTACAAAGACAAAAAACATGTTGATAAGTAAATAATTAAAATTCATAAAATCTTCTCAAAAATAACACAAAGGCGATTGCCACATGTGGTATAGAAACACTTACCCTTCTGGAACGTATGGTTCCGTCTTTGGTTCATAGGTTTGGAATTAAGACGTCTGTCCTTTCGTTTTGGTGTTCCAACAGTTCCTGATTTCTATTTTTATATTCGAGTTTTGATTTCGTTATTGTTTATCGACGCTGTGGTTTCATTTTCTATTTTACTTTGTTGTAATGTTTTGATGATTTGATTTTATCTATATTTATTTTCTTTTTCTTTTAAATGTTTTTTTCAAATTGAAGTATCTTTAAGGAACCTAGGAATAACGTTTACATATCTTTATTTTTCAAAATGTTTAATAGCTATTTCAGTTGATAGATATTGAAATAAATAACAGTTAGAAACAAATGCTGTAATGTTTTTATGAATTATTTTTGGAAATGTCTTTACAAAACCAAGTGTTAAAGAAAGTTTATATGGAACCTGGAAATATGAGTTTAGATATCAAATTATTAATTTTCAAAATGATTTTATTGCCATTTCATCATATGTTGTAACGTTTTAATAAATATATTTTCGGAAATGTCTTTGCAAAACTAAATGATAAAGTAAGTTTATGGAACCTAGGAAAATGGTTAAAATATCATAATATTAATTTTCTAAGTGGTTTTATTGCCATTTCAGTTGAACGATATCGAAATAATAACACATTTAGTAGTACTAAGTAGAATCAGAATAGTTGTGATTTTATTAACTACATACAAGGTTTCTCCATTCTTGGTACACGGTATAATTAACAGTAAATACATCCTATGATAACGATTTGTTAGTTATCAGTGTAATATATTAATCATGTTATATCGTTAACAAAATATAACTTTTTATAACTTTATACCAATTAATACTAGGATATGGAATGATGAAAAACGGTTACGGGATGAACAATGGTTATGGAATGAACAATGGCTATGGAATGAATAATGGCGGACGTAAGTTTGAATCCTATAAGTTATATATGGTAGTAATTTTAAATGTAGAACATTACAATTAAAAAGTTAAACTCCTATAACAGTAAAACGAGACATTTATATACAGTAATATTTTTTTAAAGAATATCATAATTAAAATATAAATAAAACCTTAGGCTACTATAAAGTAAAAAGTAATCATTTATGTACAGTAGTATTTTTCGAGAAAGGAGATTATAATTAAGATATAAATAAAATATCTTATTTTTTTATATACATAAATAGCACGGTACCTCTGCAGACTATGATAGAATCTCAATGTTGTGAAACTTTGGTTTATGTTGTCTTTCCTTATTTCTAGGTTACAAGCGTGGTAAGTAGACATTATTTTTTTTTAAAATATTTTTAGATTAACGTTTATTTATTACATAATTGATATATCGAACCCTAGAGTCATTATTCTAGTGGTATTTAAAACACATACAAATGTATCATATATGTCTTGTGTAATGCAGTGAAGACCATATGTCATATGTAATATGCATTATACTTTTATACTTTCAAATTTTGACGTCAGAAAAAACATGATACCATATACTTCAAGGTTGCCTCTTGATGATGACCAGATACAATAAATTATTTTCAGAACATTAGCATGAGTTCTGGGTTGTGTGTATGCTAGACTCATTTGATAATAGCATCCTAATTCAGAACACATTAAAGATCCTATATATATAGATGATGCTAAACTGTCAGTATTTTATATTTTCAGCTGCCTATGGTATGGGAGGAGGCATGGGAGGAATGGGCGGTATGCCTGGTATGGGAATGGGCGGTAAAGCAGGCATGGGCGGAGGAATGGGTAGTATGTCCCGTCGGCGAATGGGTGGTATGGGTGGTATGATGGGCGGTATGCCCGGTATGGGAATGGGCGTTATGGGCGGTATGATGGGCGGTAAAGGAGGAATGGGCGGAGTAAGGGGCGGTATGCCTGGTATGGGAATGGGCGGTATGTGTGGTATGATGGGCGGTAAAGGAGGAATGGGCGGAGTAAGGGGCGGTATGCCTGGTATGGGTGAAATGGGAATGGGCGGTAAAGGAGGAATGGGCGGAGGAGTGGGCGGTATGCCTGGTATGGGAATGGGCGGTAAAGCAGGCATGGGCGGAGGAATGGGCGGTATGCCTGGTATGGGAATGGGCGGTAATTTTCCACAACATCTGCAATGTCCATCCACTTGGTTAGGTAACGTTCAGTAGGTAAAACAGCCCTGTACTATGGTACTGTTCAACCAACGAAAGTTCTCTCCACTGTACTCCATAATAGTACTGTTCACTTCATAATGTTCATGTACCCCTCGGTGGGTTAATTCACCGTTAAATACAGTATAATGATTACAGGTTAATATATATACTCAGTATTACCTTACTGATATATACATGGACACATATTACTTCCATAAATCCGTTTATAATAGACACCGGACTATTATACACCAACTGCGTTACACACAATACTTCACTATGTCCACCCGCCACATCACTTCCGGTACCCTGTGACCTCGAAAGGATTCCGCCACAAAACAGAATCCCACACGTGACCTTCACCTCACGGAACTAACTCTGCCACATCATCATGTCACATATCTTGGCGACACTAAACTCTAGACACCAACACTGCATGCCCATATCTCTATATAGACTGTATGGAAGACGCCAAGCCAGCCCTACCATCACCAATGTCGAGTACTAGGCCATTTACAAAACCCCTACAACAACAAAATATTCACCTTATATCGACTACTGCATGGGCGGCCATTTTACATACGAAGTATAACAACCACAATGTTATCAAGGTTTCCAAATAACAAACCTATAAACTCTTTACTCAAAAATTACCACACTATAAATGAAACAACACAGCAGCTTACCTGCATCTACAGCTATAGAAAGTTTAACCCCGCCCCGGGACCAAAAACGAGTCCGGGGTCCAGATACCCCTCCATCACCTGCAGCCTGCCTCGCCAATGTGCTGACAACACATGTGCACCCCTCGCTTTCCGCTTTTGCACACGACAAGTTTTCTCTCCTAACAAAAGAGCTCCACAAGTGACTTAACTCTAGCAAAGCACTGATCCCAACTTTTAAGGTGTCACACCACTAACAACTACATCACATTCCTCCCCACCGAGTGTCTTAGTACAACCAACTCATGAACAGCTTAAACTATTAAACCTTACCCAACCATAGTACCTCCGACTTACTGACAACTTCTTAAACCTCTAACAAGCCCGACTAAATGCATCCGCCTGTATGGTTTTTTTTCCTGGAACATATTTTGTAGTAACACGATACTCCTGCAGTGCTGAACTCCATCTGAGGAGACGCTGATTCTCAGATTTCTTCATCTGTAACCACTCAAGAGGACAATGGTCCGTTTCCACAATGAATTATCTTCCAAAGAGATATACATGTAAGCTCCGGATAGCCCATACCATTGCATAGGCTTCTTTCTCCACTGTAGCATACGATTGCTCTCTCGCAGAGAGCTTCTTACTATTTACGCCACTGGCCTACATCCACCTGGCCCTTCTTGTAACAAGACAGCTCCAATTCCTTGTTGAGATGCGTCTGTTTGTACAATGAACATCTTCTCAAAATTTAGACTCTGTAAAACTGGGTGTTTACATAATGCTGACCTCAACTCCTCAAACGACTTTTGATGAACCTCGGTCCATGTCACTTTGTTTGGCAGTTTATTAGATGTTAAATCTGTCAAAGGGGCGGCCAACTGTCAGAAGTTTTGAATATATTTCCTGTAGAAACCTACTGTACCAAGGAATCTTCTTATATCCCTTTTTGTTTGTAGTTGTTGAACTCACAAATAGCTTGAGAAAGAAGTCAAAGGAGAACACAACAAAAGAACCAAAATTAAACAAAGAGACACATCGAACACTTACATTTCCCGCAAATAATGCTTCTAGGTTTCTCGCAAATAATAAGCCTTACGCTACTCCCAAACAAAGATGACTACGAGTGGAAAGTTTTTAGAAAATATTGTTATACATAGTGCGGTGTAACGGACACCTTCAGTCAACGACTTATGTGTTTGATGACGACTCTTGACAATAAAACATCATGAAGCATTTTGATATATTTATTATAGATACATGTAACAAAAATAATTACACTTATAAATATATATATTATACTAGTACCATCATATTATATGTCTGATATATGAGTATGAGATATTTCTAAAGCTTCGGGTCCGGACAGTATAAGTCCGAGAAGTATTAAGAAAGCAAATGTAGAAGTTATCACAAAATTATTAAACAAACCTTTACCTGTGGTAAATATCCTTACATTTGGAAAGTTGCAAATGTCACACCTGTATGAAAAACAAGACATCCCAGAGGGATCTTGGCGCCCACCATTGAACCATCTTCATTAGTTCTTTGTCAGTTCGATCTTTTCTCTTCTTTCCTCTAATTTGTTTGATTGAGTCATGTTAACAGTTAATGCACCTTGCGGTAACTTTTGATCTAAACTTAATACTGATGTGCATGAAAGCCAACCTTCAAAGTGAGTTGGTCATTTCACATATTTACTAGTACAGTACTTAATGTGAAAGAAATAGTATCGATTATTGCAATATGAGAAAGATCTGTTTAGTTCTTCCATTAGCCATTTTGTTTTTATGATCAGTCTCTAAATATAACATGCACAACGAGGGATCAAGGGGAACCTACATATCAAATTTGAGAAATATCCCTCATGCCCAAATAATTTTGGGAAGAAATATTTCCACATCATTTAACACAATGCTATTACATATAACATGACAATGTTTGTAATATGTAAAACAGAATAAAACATTATATTTTTAATTCTTCAACTCTAGTTAAAACCTGACATGATCCACTCCAGTCAGGTCTTTGTTTATGATTTTTTATTTATGATTTTTCTTTCTCCTTGTAGAGTAACAATTTCATTTTTTTCCGGAAAGTTTTGGACGTGATAAAGGCTAGCACCCTATGAAGATAACCAGACTTTTATGAAACATTGTGTTGCACTATATTACTCACTCTACGTTATGCGTTAAACATGTTTTTAAGGCGTACTGACATATTTTTAATGACCAAGCAACACGGGACGGAAATAAAGTTAGATAAAACCGTCTCTTTGTGAATGATTTGGGAAATCAGCACAAATGGGAAAGTCTATACTGTGTTGTAGAAAGATGTTTATTTAAAAGACGCGATGGTCAAATTCAGGAGATTAATAACAATGACATTATATGGTAAAATATCGCGGATATTAGATAAGAATATAGTTTAGTTTAAACAGTATTTATTTAATGTTCAAACATGTTAATTACATACATAACATTAACCAGGGATTGGAAAACAGGCTTAGAGCTGATATTAATTCCTCTCCCAAGTATATATTACAGGAAAATAATTCCTCGAGACTGCTGACACCTTAACTACCTTAGTAATTTGAATCAGATAAAGTTTAAGCTTATAACATATTTACAGTAGGTGAAAATTGAAATTGAAACCTATTAATCTATTGAATAACACATTAGATTAAAAATCAGTGACACGTAATATACGTTTTGGTATTGAAGTGCACGCACACTTGCACTCATCCACCCATGGATGGACGGACGGACGATGCTCGAACACGTACGCATGCACATGCTCAAACACTCAAACTCACACATGTACTTATGATACGCATATTTCTTGATATAATGTTTTTAGAATATAAATACAACAAATAGCACTTTCAATTACAATATATAATTGATGTAGAAACTATTTAAAATAATAACTACAATAATAAGGTCGTACATGAACATGTGTTCAAGTAATGATTAACTTAACAGTTTACTGAGTTTGATAAAAATATGGACTGATAAAAATATTTCTTTGTTCTATTCAGTACTTTCCCATAGTGGAGTGAACTATGGATTACTTTGCAATGCTTTGCCTTAGTTTGCCTTTAGCTTACAGTTTTGGTTTATATAGGATTGGAGGTATTAGTTAGTCTTTGGCTTACAGCTTAGTTATTATTTTATTTGGCCTATTGGCCTTTCATTAAACAAAATATGGAGGAATATTACATCATTTTATATCGTTAACTCTAAACAAATAAAGCAAGGAAAGGTATACTTGTCTGACTCCCCATGCATTTTTTTTTATTTCAGCACATTTTATTTTTGTGACCTTGAACCAAGGTCAAGGTCATCAACGTTTACAAAATTGAAATCCATTCACATGAACAACCTACTTGCCAAATATCAAGACCCAAGGACTTTAAGTCATGAAGAAACACAAGTTAAAGGAAAAGTGGAAAGAAAGCTGTGTTTTTCTTTTTTTTTAATCAAAAGTGTTATATGACAAATTGAGCGGTTGTCAATTTTCTTGAAATTCCTGACGTTGAAAGATATTATTGGTTGCTAACTTTTAAGCAAGTATGAAACATAGACTGGTTTTTGAACCATGTAAATTAACCTGTCGAAAAACGTAATTTTCTCACTAGTAATGAAATTTCACATACTTCTGCTTAAATCTTCAATAAAAAGAACAATTCTTTCTTGAAATAGTTTAATATTCGGTATCAAAATAACAGTTGGAATATGATGCACACGATGATGATATAATTTTATAGTAATAATGTCATTTAAGTGCTCTAGGAGCAATTGTATTACCGCACCTTAAACACCCACACAACTGTAAGTCAATGAGGTCCCATTTATCCTAAAATGAATTTTGAAACTAACGGTTCCTGATTTAAACTTCCTATACCCATACCTTTTTGTATTTATCTTGTTTTGAAACTCCATGCGGGGGCCGACGCTAAATGTTAAATCTCTATAGGCGTTGACCCTAACTTTCTTATATATAGGTGATGTTTAAATGCCTACATTTTCACCTTAATCTTGTATGTAGTATTTGTAGGTTTCTATTTCCAATATTGAAATATGTAGGGACCACTCCTTTATCTTTTTGAAGAAATCTTTTAATAACATTCACTGACGGATTTTCACGAATACCTAAAGGTAATACATTCCATAATTGTATTGAGGAGTTCAAAAACGAGTATTTTTAAAAGAAAAATTGTTCTACAGCTAATTGAAAGTAAATGATTGGAATGCCCTTTGTTGTGACTATGGCTTTCTGATATTTGACTAGGGACTAAGCTTTTATTATGATACATTTTATGAAAACTGTACGATTTTATGATTTTCACGTCTTTTATCTAGTTTTCCCAGCCCACATCTTTATATAATAGATTAATATTCGACAGTTTTGTTGCACCTGTTACTATTCTGACAGCTTCAATTTGAATATAAGTTTTGACAAAGATAGTTAGAATATCAGAATATTCTAGAATAGGTCTAATAAAAGCAAAATCTATACTTTAAAGAGAGTTCCTATCAAGAGTGTTTCTTAGTTTTTAAAGTACAGCTAATCTTGGTGATATTTTCTTTAATATGTAATCAACGTGGATATTCCATGCACCATTATCGGACAACCATACTCCTAAATGTTTGTGAGAATTTACTGTAGAGACGTCAATGTTATTCATAGTTATTGGATTGTAATTTACTCGTGAGGTTTTTTCTACGTAATAATGATTCAGTTTTATCCTTATTGAATTTCACTAATAATTTATCAGCCCATATCTGTATTTAAGAAAGATCATTATTTATAGTATTTATAGTAGTTACAGGATTGTCAACAATTACGTATAATGCAGTATCATCAATGTCAGTAACACTATCATTTATATATATAAGAAAAAACAATGGACCTAAGATTGAACCCTGTGATACACTTCATTTGCTAAAACTTTTTGACTTCTGTCGGATAAACAACTTTCACACCAAGCTAATCATTTTCCTGAAATACCTGCAGCTTTAAAATTATAAATCAGAGCCCTATGCCAAACTCGATCAAATGCTTTACTTATGTCACAGAATACAGCTATACTTTCTTTACCCGCATCCGATGCCCTCCCAATACCGTTTGCAATGTCTAGTAACTGATTAATTGCAGTATCCCCAGTTGCGAAGCCAGACTGACGTTTAGTGAAAAATCGTGTGTCCCTAAGAAAATTGTATACATGTTTAAAAATACATCTTTCCATTAGTTTACCAACAATATTTATTAAAGATGTAGGTCTATAATTTGATACTGCATATTTTATTAGCTCAAATCACCCTGCGTCCGTGGTCCGTGGACCGTCGTCCGTCCTTAAACAATTCCTGTTATCGGTATTTCTCAAGAAGTACCAAAGGGATCTTCCTCAAACTTATATGTAGGTTCCCCTTGGTCCTTAGCTGTGCAGGGCAACTTTTGAGCCTGATCGGATAAACAACGTGGCCGACAGGCAGCCATCTTTGATTTTGATAATGAAAGTTTGTTATCGCTATTTCTCAATAGGTCCTGGGGAGATCTTTCTCAAATGTTATATGTAGGTTCCCCTTGGGCCCTAGCTGTGCAGCGCAATTTTTGAGACTGATAACAACATGGCCGATAGGTAGCCATCTTGGATTTTGATAGTGAAAGTTTGTTATCGGTATTTCTCAAGAAGTACCAGCGGGATCTTCCTACAATTTGATATGTAGGTTCCCCTTGGTCCCTAGCTGTGCAGCGCAATTTTTGAGACTGATAAACAACATGGCCGATAGGTAGCCATCTTGGATTTTGATACTGAATGTTTGTTATCGCTATTTCTCGGGATTATGAAAACATAATACCTGGATGCATAACTTGAGGTGGTAGTTATCATATCTGGAAACTTTCGCTGAAATTGGTCCATTACTTTAGAAGGAGTTGTCCGGACAATCCTTTGCTACGGACGGAAAGACAGACAAGCTGATTCCAGTATACCCCCTAACTTTGTTCCAGGGGGTATAATAAAGTGTATAATAGTTTTACTATGAGGATTATCTAATTGTTTTTATATAATTGCATATCTTTGTCTATAACACAATCTCAACCTTATGTAGTTTTCCAGAGGAAATATTACTTTGGCAGACTACGTATTCATGAGTTATAACTGCTGCACATAACTTTAAAACATGCGTCATATAATAAAGTGTTTTGGTATGATACAAAAACAGAAAATGTATCGGTATTTACCATAATATACATCGATAATCAAATCTTCAAGATTATGTGAAATTGGGCATCGCTCATGTTTGGTATGCTAATAAAGTACTTTACTGGTTTTTATATTACATAAAAATGATTCAGTAGACAAAATACATATATGGAATTTTTTTAAGAAGTTTAAAATATAGACTACCACTGTAACTATATCTAGGCAAGTTTAAAATGTTGATTATATTTTAAATTTTGTGAACATTTTGCATGTTTTTCTAATTAAAAGTATCACTACGCTTACTTCAGATATACCAATATGACATATTTAGTATCAAAATAACAGTAATGTTACACACTGTACACTATCATAATACATTTTCAAAATAACATTCGCCTGTGCATTTATCTATAATTTTGTTAGGATACCCCCGTCACTCAACCTGGTGTTATACAAGGAGGTCCACTACGGTTATCAGTGGCATTTATGACTAACTATTTCAGTTATTGATCATTTTTATGTATCTACATATGGCAAAAGAATAAAAGAAATCCAAGTGGGGGCCAAATGTTGTCCCCACCTTCAGAGGTAAGCCCATTATGTAGATGCAGACTAGTCGAAAGTAGTTACTACTTTCAACTGATATGTAATAAGTACACTAGAATAAGACAAAATACTATAAATAGCTTAAACATTGACCTTACTGAAAATAATCTACTATGGGAAAGTACTGAATAGAATAAAGAAATATTTTTATCAGTCCATATTTTTATCAAACTCAGTAAACGGTTAAATTAATTCTTACTTGTACACATGTTCATGTACGACCTTATTATTGTAGTTATTATTTTAAATAGTTTCTACATCAATTATATATTCTAATTGAAAGTGCTTTTTATTGTATTTATATTCTAAAAACATTATATCAAGAAATATGCGTACCATAAGTACATGTGTGAGTTTGAGTGTTTCACCATGTGCATGCGTACGTGTTCGAGCATCGTCCGTCCGTCCATCCATGGGTGGATGAGTGCAAGTGTGCGTGCACCTCAATACCAAAACGTATATAACGTGTCACTGATTTTTAATCTAATGTGTTATTCATTAAATTAGTAGGTTTCAATTTCAATTTTTACCACCTGTAAATATGTTATAAGCTTAAACTTTATCCGATTCAAATTACTAAGGTAGTTAAGGTGTCAGCAGTCTCGAGGAATTATTTTCCTGTAATATATACTTGGGAGAGGAATTAATATCAGCTCTAAGCTTGTTTTCCAATCCCTGTGTAATGTTATGTATGTAATTAACATGTTTGAACATTAAATAAATACTGTTTAAACTAAACCATATTCTTATCTAATATCCGCGATATTTTACCATATAATGTCATTGTTATTAATCTCCTGAATTTGACCATCGCGTCTTTTAAATAAACATCTTTTTAAAACACAGTATAGCCTTTCCCATTTGTGCTGATTTTACAAATCATTCACAAAGAGACGGTTTTATCTAACGTTATTTCCGTCCCGTGTTGCTAGGTCATTAAAAAATATGTCAGTACGCCTTAAAAACATGTTTAACGCATAACGTAGAGTGAGTAATATAGTGTAACACAATGTTTCATAAAAGTTTGGTTATCTTCATAGGACGCTAGCCTTTATCACGTCCGAAACTTTCCGGAAAGAAATGAAATTGTTACTCTACAAGTAGAAAGAAAAATAATAAATAAAAAATCATAAACAAACAAAAATTATTTAAATTTTGTTTAAATATTAAAGATAATTTCTTAGTTTTATCCTTTTTTAACACTTTTTCCAAGGCATCGTTTCGATTGCTTTACTAGTATTTTGACAGCAGAAATGTAACTATGGTATAGTGATATAAGTTATTGCCGAATTACATTTATGTATCATTCTCATTGTTCGTATACACTTATAAAAAAATGTTTAAACATATCGTTAAAACAGAAAAAAAATAAAACAGAGAGTTCTTAAATATATCGAATAATACTTACAGAAATAAGAAGTGATTGTGCTTGGAATGTTAATATTATCATAAAACAAAGAAGGACCATCAATGTTACTTGATATGAAATAATATTATTGGTATTCAAATGTACATTCTTCTAATACGGTAAGGCGTCACTATTAATGTCGACAATGAGAATGAAACAGAACTAACCAACATTGTGTCCTAAAAATGTTGATGTTACTCTATCCGTTTTATTTATATATGAAAAAAACAAATACATTCAATATGAATTTTAACAGAGACGTATAATACATTATACGTCTCTGATTTTAGATAATAATAATATATGTGTAATCCGATTACCTTTAATAAAGAAATGGATACATTAAATATCAATTAGGTTAATAGGATTTGGCTTCAAATTACCTTTGATAAAGAAAAGGAAATCATATTTTGTTATTTTTCAAATACCGCAATTAACTGTTATCAATCATAATGTTTAGAATCGAGAAGTGACCGAGCGAACGTTTACCTAGGAACATCCGCGCGTGACCTCATCCCGTACACACCTGAACGGCTAGTATCACCCCTCTCTTAAGTCAACACCTTTACCTGACATTTCCTTTATTGTTAATGCATGTCAGATGCAATGTTAATTCGGACTGATTTAAAACTGTATTACCTTCCCATCAAACGGATCACGTCGATGACCCATGTAGCTGTGTTATCCTTACATGGTTGTGGTCCGCGTGAATGGTGCCTCGAGTTCCGCAGGATGAGTATATAAGACCCCGGTGTTGCTCCACAAATCGTACCACACTGCCTCCGAAGCCGACCAACAGCCCACCAGCAGCCCTACAGCTCATCACAAAAAGGTAAGTCCAGCTTCACTTTAATTTTTTAATCATCGTGAATGTTTTTCATAGTGTTATGCAACGTACGTTCTTGCCTCCTGACCTGGTAACTTCAGAATCTCTTGACATCTTTAAAACCACTCTCTAATCCATTAGGATCTCATACATACGACAAAACATCCTTCTTTTGCAATGCACACACTTTCACAACCCTACATTGATATGATGAAGTAGGTCAATTATTCGGTAGACCATATAGAATTGTTGTTATCTCAGCCAAGCATATCTACCGTCATCGCCATTTTTTTAATCAATGTATTTTGAATGTTTTATTGTCCACGCCATTTACTTAATGCAGTCTAATCTTAAATACTTGCGAAGGCAAAACCCTTATCCGTCATATACCTAAGGCATTTGGAGGGCCTACCGTTCAATTAATTTGTAAACGCGGTTTATTCATGAAAAAGGTCTTTATCACGGCAAAGCCCGTGTTGAAATGTCGCTTATTTTTTATATATATATATAAATGTATTTCCGATCAGTATCAGCTGTTTTATACTAGAATAAAGAGTGTTACACGAATGGCTATTTTCTATATTTACGCTTTCTTATCTGGTAACACTACAGATAAAACTCTCTACATGTTTTTATTTCTCCGCAAAAATAGCAATGCGTGAAAGGAAAGCTGTATATTGTATGTATTCAAAATACTTCTGAATCAAGCCATACAATCAGATACACACAGCGTAGTTACAAAAAAGATTCAAAAAAAGTAATGTCGAGAACATTCGAATTACATACATATAAGTAAATGAGACAAATTCATCTTCAAGCTATAAATTCAATATCGTAAGGTATCTTTAAAAGAACAAAAACAAAAATCCCGACATGTATCTATTTCACACACTTTATATCTGCATCTGTATGCATTGATAGTGATTGAAGTAACAAGTTTTCAATCGAATCATATATATTAGTATGATATATTTTAATTGACGAATCAACTTCAAATGTTGACTTTTGGTACCTTGTAGACCTTCAAGATGAACGCTTACCTATTCGTTTCCATGGCGTCTGCCATTGTTGTCGCTACCAACGCGGCTGGTAAGTAGACAATCGATAACTGATACAATGATGCAAATAGTATGACAACTTAGTTTCCTTAAAAACGATATTTTAGATTTTGTCGTATGGTAAAGGTGATATTAAGAAAAAAAACAACTATATGCTGACATTTAGCAGGAAATGGTTAATTCGTACTCAAACAAATAATGCAAATCTATGAAATTTCGTGAGACTACGTTAATACGCTAAGGAAAGCAGATATCACATTAAAATACATTGGAAATATTACAAAGATAAAAAAAATGATGTTAATAAGTAAATAATTAAAATTCATAAAATCTTCTCAAAAATGACAAAAGGGAGATTGCCACATGTGGTATAGTAACACTTACCCTTCTGGAACGTCTGGTTCCGTCTTTGGTTCATCGGTTTGGAATTAAGACTTCTGTGCTTTCGTTTTGGTGTTCCCACAGTTCCTGATTTCTGTTTTCCTATTCGAGTTTTAATTTCGTCATTGTTTATCGACGTTGTGGTTTCATTTTACTTTGATGTAATGTTTTGATGATTTTATTTTATCTATTTTTTTCTTTTTTTTCTTTTAAATGCTTTTTCAAATTGAAGTATCTTTAAGGAACCTATGAATAAGGTTTAAATATCATTATTTTTCAAAATGTTTAATAGCTATTTCAGTTAAAAGATATTGAAATAAATAACAGTTAGAAACATATGCTGTAACGTTTTTATGAATTATTTTTGGAAATGTCTTTACAAAACTAAGTGTTAAAGTAAGTGTATAAGGAACCTAGGAATATGGGTTTAGATATCATAATATTAATTTTCAAAATGTTTAATAGCTATTTCAGTTAAAAGATATTGAAATAAATAACAGTTATAAACATATGTTGTAATGTTTTTAATAAATTACTTTTGGAATGTCTTTGCAAAACTAAATGATAAAGTAAGCTTATGGAACCTAGGAAAACGGTTAAATTATCCTAATATTAATTTTCAAGGTGATTTTATTGCTATTCCAGTTGAAATACATTGAAATAAATAACATATTAAGTAGTACTAAGTAGAATCAGAATAGTTGTGATTTTATTAACTTCATACAGAGTTTCTCCATTCTTGGTGCATGGTATAATTAACAGTAATTAAGCATATGATAACGATTTGTTAGTGTAATATATTAATCATGTTATATCGTTAACAAAATATAACTTTGTATATCTTTATATCAATTAATATTAGGATATGGAATGATGAACAACGGTTACGGGATGAACAATGGTTATGGAATGAACAATGGCAATGGAATGAACAATGGCTATGGAATGAATAATGGTGGACGTAAGTTTGAATCCTATAAGTTATATACTGTAGTAATTTTAAATGTAGAATATTATAATTAAACAGTTAAGCTCCTATAACAGTAAAACGAGTCATTTATATACAGTAATATTTAAAAAAATAATATTATAATTAAAATATAAATAAAACCTTAGACTACTATAACGTTAAAAGTAGTCATTTTTCAAAAAAGGATATCATAATTAAAATACAATTAAAATATCTTAATGTTTGATATACATGAATAGCACGGTACCTCTGCAGACGATGATAGAATTTCAATGTTGTGAAACGTTGGTTTATATTTTCCTTCCTTATTTCTAGGTTACAAGCGTGGTAAGTAGACATCGAATTTATTTTAAATGTTTTAAGATTATTGTTAATTTATTACATAACTAATATATCGAACCCTAGAGTCATTATTCTAGTGGTATTTTAAACACGTACAAATGTATCATATATGTCTCGTGTAATGCGGTGAAGACCATATGTCATATGTTATATGCATTATACTTTTATACTTTCCAATTTTGACGTCAGAAAAAAACATGATACCATATACTTTAAGGTGGCCTCTTGATGATGACCAGATACAATAAATTATTTTCAGAACATTAGCATGAGTTCTGGGTTGTGTGAGTGCTAGACTCATTTGATAATAGCATCCTAATTCAGAACACATTAAAGATCCTATATATATAGACGATGCTAAACTATCATTGTATATTTTCCAGCTGCCTATGGTATGGGAGGAGGCATGGGCGGAGGAATGGGCGGTATGCCCGGTATGGGAATGGGCGGTATGGGCGGTATGATGGGCGGAAAAGGAGGCATGGGCGGAGGAATGGGAGGAGGAATGGGCGGTATGATGGGCGGAAAAGGAGGCATGGGCGGAGGAATGGGAGGCATGGGTAAGCAATTTCTTTATTTTATTATTTTTATTCATTTTACACGAACTCAAAATATAGTAAATACAAATTGTTGTTCAATAATTAAATATAGGGAATACATATATAGCAGAATTTACATGACACTTATTCAGCTATTACAGCTACAATATATTCAGTCAAGTTCGACCTAGAATAATCTCCTTGAATAACTAATCCGCAAATCTCTGTCTGGTCGATTCATAATGGTCTTTCTGTGCTTTAAACGTTTCCGGTCAACGATTTTGCAAAACACTCGTAGACTTTACCATTGCTCCAAAAAATATTGATAGATTTATTGCCCTTGAAATTTTATCGTATTTATCGCCATCAATACCTCAATACCTGACTACAAAATACAAGGGCGAGTGTATTATATACCCAAGCAATTGAAAGTTTCTTTTTCAACCTTTGTAATTCTAATATAGCAATTGGCAAATGTAATTCAACTACATTAACAGTATCCCGGCTGTTCTCCAAATCACTCTATTACTAACATAACGTTAAATGCATTAATAATGATTCAAATATTAAATTGCCATTTATTAACCTGCATGTACACTGGGTTGTTGTTGTCTTTGTTGTTACCTATTGCAATATTCCCTCTTTTACAGGCGGAAGATACTAGCCGACTTAACCTGACCCACAACAAAGCTTGATGTATCTGGATTAAAAACACAATCAAACGGAGAAATAAAATAACGGGTACTTGCATTCAAAATATGCTTTGTTAATTATTCTTTCTGTCATGCTGTCACTTCTTTTGTCTTTCAAGTAAACTTTCTTCTACATGAAGTTAATGATGGAGATTCAATATTCTCCAAACTCGTTGACTTCAGCTGAAGCACGAGGATTGGTGATAAAGATCTTGGAGAAGTGTATATTTGGAGATATTTTAGATGGAGGTTCAATGTTCTCCAGAAGATCCCCAAATATTTTAGATTCCATATTTGATTGATGCTGATGCTGTCTGAATTAGCTGTCTGGAGTCCATTATTTTACCGATGCCAATACGAGTATCTATAGTTTCAAAAGATTACTGGAAGATCGTGCAATATACTAGATGTAGGGAATCCTGTACAAATTATGGACCCAATATAAAGATACAAAAGACAGTGAGAGCAACCACCATATAGAGCAACAAAACACAGAACAAATACTAAACCAAACTTGAAAGAAGAATGTAATACACAAACATAAAGTTTGAGAATACATACACTGTATACCGGAAAAGTTAAATATTTGTCCTTCACTGGTAAAAGTATAGTCTCCTAATGTTAATAGCGCCCTCCTCATGTAATTACTACATCAATTCTGTTGCGTACAAGTATTCTCTGTCGTGATAAATTCGCCCTCATAGTAGAGGGCGGTACAGGGCCAAATTGATACTGCGGCGAAAATGTTCTGGTAAGCAATAGTATACTGAAATATACTGTCACATAGAACATAATCATACATCATAGTTAAAAATAACTCTTATTTGCTCTAATATAATGTAAGTACAGGTACAGTAGGGTAACCAAGATTAAAATATAAGCGTAAAAAAATGTAAAATGAATATATGCTAATATAGCAAAAGGTAAGAGGTCAAATACATACATAAATATGGCGCGAGCTAAAATAATATGAAGACTTATTTAATAAAAACCTTCGACAAACAGTAAAGCCATGTAAAACTAAAAGGGAATAATAACAAAATTAATAAAATCATACAAAACAGCAAACAGCGTACAGAAAAGGAACACAAGAAAGGGGTCAAAGGAGAACACAACAAAAGTGTCAAAGGAGAACACAACAAAGGGGTCAAAGGAGAACACAACAAAAGAACCAAACTTAAACAAAAAGACACATCGAACACTTACATTTCCCGCGAATAATGCTTCTAGGTTTCTCGCAAATAATAAGTCTTACGCTACTCCCAAACAAAGATGACTACGAGTGGAAAGTTTTGTAGAAAATATTGTTAAACATAGTTCGGTATAACGGACACTACCAGACAACGACTAATGTATTTGATGACGACTCTGGACAATAAAACATCACTGAACATTTTTATATATTTATCATAGATATATGTGTATTACAAAATCTGCAACAAATACTCAAAAGGATATATATAATCACGGCTCATCTATAAATGTACTCAGCTATGCAAAGTGCATGTGCAGTGGAGGATATAATTATATAATCACGGCTCATCTGAAAATGTATCCAGCTATGCAAAGTACATGTGCATTAGAGGATGTAATTATATAATCACGGCTCATCTATAAATGTACCCAGGTATGCAAAGTGCATGTGCAGTAGATGATATAATTATTTAATAACGGCTTATCTATAAATGTACCCAGCTATGCAAAGTGCATGTGCAGTAGGCGCACCTATTTCTACATTGAAAAGCAGCTTTTGCAATTCAAAGGTTTCGACTTCTTCCGGTAATTGTTCCCATGATAAGATTAGTGTTTCTGCAATGTTAAAGGACAACGTATGTGGCATGGCTGATACGTTTAAAATAAGTTTGTTGGTTAAACTATCTAGTATTTCTGAGTGTAAAATAACAGCGGGACTAGACCGGAATTCGAACCCCGGACTTCGATTGTTATACCAGTTAAGGTATCTGTTTAACGGAAATGTATCTTACGCAAGTAAGGGGAGGTAACTGTTTATAGGAAAACAATAGTGCAGTGGCACAGGGATCCTTAAGGGAAGGTTACTGTATATAGGAATAAACACAGTGTAGTGGGACAGGGACCCTTAAGGGGAGGTTACTGTATATAGGAATAAACACAGTGTAGTGGGACAGGGATCATTAAGGGGAGGTAACTGTATATAGAAATAAACACAGTGCAGTGGGACAGGGATCCTTAGGGGAGGTTAGTGTATATAGGAATAAACAGTGCTACTGGACAGAGATCCTTAAGGGGAGGTTACTGTATATAAGAATAAACACAGTGCAGTTGGACAGGAACCCTTAAGGGGGGGGGGGGGGGGGGAA